GCTCGATCGACAGGTGTGCAAGGGGCAAAATAAAGCTAGGTGTTTTTGTGATTACATGTGGGGCTCAGGGGACATCAAATCCGTGATAACAGAAAATGCAGGACTACTAGGGGCTAGGGCTTGCCGTGCACTATGGGGAGCGTCATCTAGATGGCTATACTGCTGAGACATATCCTACGAGGATGAAGTCAAGCTCCGAAGGAACCCAGCATCACAACCCAAAGCAGGCCTAACCTCCTGCCCGACCCTGGAGCTACCTCAGAAGTAGCCTTGGGAGGGGAACCACCAGGTCCCTGCGCACCTCACTTTGTGGGTTCTTGAGCCATGGTACGACGGGTCATGCACTTGCGCAGGGGGCCATGCTTCGAAGCCCCGCTTGATACACTTCTTGATTTGTGCTGTCATGCATTCACAATTTGCTTTGCTATGCTTTGCTATGCTTTGCTTTGCATGCTTTGCATGCTGATGCCCTTGGAACAGGCATCGGCTCCTCCATCATGGGCATTGCGCTGATGTTTGGCATGCTGGTGACTCCTTACGCTGAGGAAGCCTTCGCGTTACTTGGCTGAAAGGCATCGGCAGTCAAGCACAACTGAGCCCGTCCATCTCGGAGGTACTTCAAGGAGCACACCGCCATCGCCATGGGCATAGTTGCTGTGCTCATCATCGCCATCGTGATGGCCTCCAAGCCGCTTCGATGAATGACTTCAAGAATGTGGTATACACTCGGCAAGTTCGTTAAGATTTTCATGTGATGAGCAAGCCTTTAGCGTTCTCCTGTCAGGTGAGCCTGGGACAAATGAGCATGATTGTGCAAAGTTTAGCGATGTTAGAGAGCCTGCTGAGCAGGTGTTCGAGAGATGAAACCACATTCTTCTTATCCTGGCTCTGAAAGAGTCCTTTTTTCGACGTGTGCTGCAACGCTTATACCCTGCATTACATGAGAAAATGCTTGAAGAACGTGCCTGATGCCTGCCTGCGTGTCTTGCATGCTACCAGTTGCTTGGAACCATCTCACTTGCTGCTTTACAGTTGGTTTAATACACTCTGTGAAGCCGTCTTCTTGCTCGTGTTGTCCAGAATGGTACCTTGCTTGCATTTGGTTTTGTTGTCTGATGCCGCCAAAGGCCGCCATACTGTAAGTCATCCATGCACATAGGACACCACCCCTGCTGCCTTAAGCACTGCCCCTTGTTGCAAGGCTCGCCAAAACCGCAGCCGCTCGGCGCCGCTGCTGGCTGCCTTGGCATGCTGCCTTCTGTGGCTGGGAATAATTCATGTGAGATTTTTTGGAATTCGATTGCGGAGGTGTCTCACCGCTGTCTGTGCTGCTTTGTGGCCAAGGTGGAATGCAGGCTTCCCGCAGACCTTTGCTGGTCCCTCTGTTGGTGTGCAGCGTGAGACCTCCACTGCACTGACGCAGTCTTCCAGCAGCAGGAGACATGTGTGGAGCAGCTAGTGCGGAAAAGTGTTGGCATTTGGTATAAGGCTGCAAACAGACGGCGCGTAGCTGGCAGGAGTTGGATGCTGGGATCTCTGCGTGAGCAGCCGCGTGACCAGTCTGCCGTGGCAACCGCGGCTGCAGCAGCAGCACCCAACTTTTTCAGCAAGGCCTGTAGAGTTGCCACGTGGGTCCGGCCGCAGAATCCACTTCTTACACTTTCCGCACAGTGGATCCTGAAGGTGTTTGCTGCTGGTGCTCAGGGCGCCACAGTGCCTTCAGCCGCACGTAGCGATGCAGTTCCACAGCCTGCATAGTCTGGTAATGTGGTGGATCTTGTACTTTTCCAATAGAAGTGGTCAGCAAGCTCAGGCAGCCTTTGTAGCAGCAATTCTGTCGGCTATTTGTGAGCCGCTGGCCTCTCGTCAGAAAGCTGAACTGAGGATTCATTTTGTCTCCTTCTGCCATGGCCGTTGTCAGGTGAACCGCCTCCTGGTGA